AGATATATTCTAGGGATATTTGAAGGGAGAAAGAATTTTTTTTGGAAGGGGTGAGTAGAGGTAAGGATGGATTAGGCAAGACTTCAGCAGGAGATGGTGATTGAGCTAGGCCTTGGAGAAAGAAAGGATTCTAAAGGCTAAGGTGAGTAGGGAGTGCATTCCAGAAATAGGGACTGGCCTGTACCAATCCAGTGTCCATCTCAGAAGGAAATGAGAAAAAAACCCCTCAGCCTAGCACAGTAGTATTATCCTTCCAAAGCCTCCCACTTCCTGCTGGAATTTCAAAGTGTTTCCTGTGGCCTCCCCCTGCTGAGATGAGCTTAGCCTGCACAATTGCCTGGGTCATTTCCAATGGGCTTCACTTTACAAGAACATGCACATTTTCTGTAATACATTGTCAGTCTGCTGATACTTACCTGGTTCAGGGGAATGGAGTTGGTTGGCCACTATTCTTGTACCTCATTTTTGCTCTGAGGAAGAATTTTTCTCTGCACCAGTGGGATGGAGTGAGAAAGAAAAGAAGTAGGGACTGCTAAGTATGCTAAGGGATCTGGCAATCAGTGAATCAATCAAGTATTTATTAAGCATTTACTGTTATGCCAGGCACTGTGTTAGGTGCTGGGGAAACATGTATAATGAATGAAACAGTATCTACTCAGAAGGAACTTACATTCTAATGGAGGAGACAATACCTATACAAATATATACTGTGCAGCAAAAGTAATTAAATACAAGATAGTTTGGAAAGGAAGGCAGTGGCATTCGGGGGAATCAGGAATGGCTTCATGCAGAAGATGGTGTCTGAGCTTAATAATTAAGGAAGAGAAGGACTGTGAAGTAGAACTAAGAAGAGATGGCCCTTCAGGTATGGAAGACCGCCAGTGAAAAGGCACTGAGGATGGAAGGGAGTGTTGGGGATGAGGAACAGAAAGGCCAGTCTCATTGGGTCTTAGAGTGTGGGAGTCCCACAAGTCTGGAAAGAGGTTGAGGCCAGGTTGTGAAGTGCTTCAGGAGCTAATTAGAAGAGTTTATAGTTTATCCCCCAGCCAAAAGGAAGCCAGTGGAGTGGCTGAGTAAGGGAATCACATATCACATATGAGCTCAAGGAAAATCACTTTGGCAGCAATGTGTAGGATGGACTGAAGTGGTGAGAAACTTGAGGCAGGGAGACCAATTAGGAGGCTGTCACAATAATTTCGGGCAAGAGGCAATGAGGACCTGACCTAAGGTGGTAGCTATGTGAGTGGGAAAAAAAGGGGGTAGGTTTTGAGAGATGTTGAAATGGCAAGATTTGGCAAGTGATTGGATGTGTGGGGTGAAGAAGAGTGAGGAGTCCAGAATAATGTCAATAAACCTGAGATATTGGAAGGATGGTGATGCCTTTAAAAAAAAAAATAGAGACATTTGGAGGATGGGACAGTTTAGGGGAAGAAGATAAAGAGTTGTTTTAGACATGTTGAGTTTAATGTCTTTGGGACATCCAGTTTGAAATTTCCAATAGTGACTGGTGACCCAAAAAAGAGACTGAGACTTGATATATAGACCAGGGAATCATTTGCTTGGAGAAGATAAGAACCAAGCAGTTGATGGAGTTATTGAAGAAGAGAATAGAGGGAAAAGTGAAGCAGGTTCAGGACAGAACTTTGGGAAACATCCATGGTTAGGGGCCATGATGTGAATGAATAATGGAGACTGAGAAGGACTAGTGAGACTGGAGGCAAACCAGTGTACCACAACTACAGTACCAGCGAACTACAGAGCTGGCCCCTGTCACGCTATACCCTCTTCAGGGATTCAGGCCAAATATTTTTTGTGGGGGAGCCCTTTGACTTCCCACCCCCTTTACCATTCTCTTTTCCCTTCACTTTACCTTCTGCCCTTCTCCTTTGTTCCCCTTTACTTCACTCTCTCTTTTCTTCCTCTCTCCCTCTTCCTCCTCTTTCCCTCAACTTTCATTTTCCTTTCACTTTTACTTCCCTTCTTCCCCTTCCCTGCCTCCTCTTCCCTTCCTTCTCTTCACAGAATCACAGTATTTCATATTTGAAAAGGACTCAGAAGCCATCCAGTCCAACCCATGCCTGACCAAGCATCTTCTTTACAGCATACCTGAGAAACAGTGATCCAGACTTTGCTTGATGTTCAGTAAGGGGGGACCCACTACTCCTGAGGCAGCCTGTTCCCTTTTGAGATGGCCCTGTTATGGAAGAGTCAAAGATGACTCAGAACTTGTGAACCTGGTGCCTGGGGAGGATGCTTAGGAGAGAGGCAGGTAAAGGTTGGGTGGAGGGAGAGAACAGGTAATGAGTTCTATTTGAGAGGCCTATTGGACACCCACATGGAGATATTCACAGTTGATGATACCAGACTAGTTTAGGCAAAAGATCTGTAGATAAATACAAAATATATATAAAGTAATTTCAAGATGGAGCACAAGTCGACATGGAACCATTAAGAGCTACTCTTTGGGTCCTGCCATTCAACCAGGTCTGATTTTACCTAAGTAGACTATTGTATATATGAGTTCAAGCAGGTCCATAAAGACTGGGATTATTGACCAGTCTCCTGTTACACTATCATTGAGCTCTCACCTCTTGATGTTTACTACAAGAATGGCAAGACAGCCTTTTATCAAATCCTTTGCTAAAATCTAGACTCTGCTACAGCATTCTCTTTATCTATCAGTCTAATAACCCTGTTAAAACAGGAAATATTGGGCTGGTATAAGCTGCGCTCATAGAAACTGCTGGCTCTTTGTCATCACTGCCTTCATTTCTTGTTGGGAACTGTTCAGCGTTTAATAATTCTAGAATTTCACTGGGAATCCAAGATAATCTTATAGACCTATATAGAGCTTGCATGTCCTAGTCTTTTTTTTTTAATTACAACAACCCCTCCCCCCCTTTTTTCCAGTCTTGCCATATGCCTTCCATTCTCTACCTTATGGGGTCTGGAACTTATCAGGAGTCAGTGCCTGTGGAATGAATAAATGAATCAAGGTCAGCTACTATGTCCTGGCTTGGTACCTTGGGTACCTTCTCCTTATTAGCCATTTTTGTTTTGTAGGGTCCCCCTTATCTACTCCTTTCTTCTTTTCCCACTTCTTCTCTCCTTCCTTTCCTTTCCTCCTTTTTTTCTATTGTTTTTCTCCCTCTCCTTTTCTTCTTCCTCTCTCCCTTTTTCCTCCCCCTCCCTCTACTCTTCCTCTTCCCTTCTCTCTTTCATCCCTCTCCCTCCTCAATTAACAACGGTAACAACAATAATAGCTAACATTCATTTAGCACTTGTTATGTGCTTAGCACTGTGTTAAGCACTTACAATTATTATCTCATTTGATTTTTATAACAATCCTAGGAGGTAGGTACTATTATTGTCCCCATTTCACAGATAATGATACTGAGGCAAAGGTTAAGTGATTTGTCCAGGGTCACACAGCTAGTTAGTGTTTGGTGACATATTTAAACTCAGGTCTTTCTGATTCCAGGTTCAGTGCTCTAACCACTGAGCCCCCTGTGCTACCCAATTATTATCTCTCTGCTGATGATCCTCTGATTAATCTATCCAGCCCTAACTCTTCTGTTGATTTCCAGTCTTACATCTCTAACTACATACTGGACATCTTCACCTGGATGTTCAGTAGACATCTTAAACTTAACATGTCCAAAACAGAATTCATTCTCTTCTCCCCCAACACCATCCTCCCTGTCCCTCAGGCTCAAAACCTAGGAGTCATCCCTGATTCCTCACTCTCTCTTACCCCCTACATCAAAGCTGACAGGCCTGTCAATTTCACCTCTGCAGTATCTCTTATCTTTTTCACCTCCTCAGCATCCCTAGTCTACTTCACCTCTGCAGCAGCTCTCAAATCCCTTTCCCTCCTCTGACACTACCACCACCCTACTGTAGGCCCTCATCACCTCATGCCTGGATTATTGCCATAGCCTGATGGTGGATCAGCTCTCCTCGAGTTTCTTCCCATTCCAGGCCATCCTCCAGTCAACCACCAAAGAGATTCTCCTAAAGTGCAAGTCTGACCACGTTAACCCCTATTCAGTAAATTCCAGTGGCTCCCTATTGCCTCCAGGATCAAATACAAAATCCAATTTCCTATTCTAATCCCTTCATAACCTGCCCCCGTCCCGACCTTTCCAGTCTTCTTACCCCTCACACTCCCACCCATATTCTCTGTGATGCAGTGACAGTAAGCCTCCTTACTATTCCTACGACGTTCCATCTCCCAACTCTTGTCTCCTGGCTTCCTAGGCTTCCTTTAAGTCCAGCTAAAATCCCCCTTCTACAGGAAGCCTTTCACAGGCCCCCTTAGTCTTAGTAACTTGCCTCTGTTGATTATATCCAAATTATCCCAGTCTGCAGCTTGTTTGCACATAGTTGTTTGCATGTTGTCTCCCCATTAGACTACGAACTTCCAGCAGGGGCTGTTGGTTGGTTTGTTCTTTTTTTTAACCTTTCCCCTCCTCTTCTTCAGTCCTGTTTTTTCCCTCTTTCCTTTCTCCCCTCCTCTTTCTCTTCCCTCTTTCCCACCTCCCTCTTCCTCTCCTCCCTCCTACTCCTCTCTTTCCCCTCCTCCTCCTCTCCTAGCACTTCATTTCTCTCCCCCTCCCCCTTTCCTCTTTTCCCCTCCCTCTTCCCTCTTCATTATCCTCCCCCCTCCCTCCCCCTCTCCGGCCCCTCCTCTTCCCGCTGCTCCCGCCCGCCCAGGTGGCGCCGAGGACGGGCGGGGCGGGGCGAGCGGCCTTTACGACGCTGTCGTGGCTGCGGCGGCTTCGGCTTAGGCGGCGGCGGCGGCAGGGCGTGCGGGTGCGGGTCGGTGCGGTGTGGTGCGTTGGGGCCGGCGCTCTTGGCAGCGGCGGCAGGGGGGGTGACGAGCGGACGTGCGGCTGCGGCGCTGCTGGTGCCTGGCAGCGGTGCGGCTCGGCTCGGCTGGGCTCGGGCTGTGCGGGGCGAGGAGCCAGCGGGCTGCGTGCGTGCTGGTTGCGGGCGGGCAGCGCCCCGCGGGCCATGCTGCTCACGGTGTACTGTGTGCGGAGGGACCTCTCCGAGGTCACCTTCTCCCTCCAGGTTGACGCCGACTTCGAGCTGCACAACTTCCGCGCGCTCTGTGAGCTCGAGTCCGGCATCCCAGCGGCCGAGAGCCAGGTGAGCTCGGGGGGGGGGGGAGAGGAGGAGGGAGGGAGAGGCCCCCTCCCCGGCGTCCATAAGGTCACCACTGCCACCTTCCTACCCCACCACCCCCTTTTACAGAGGTGAAGACTGAGGCCCCCAGAAGGGCCTCCGACTCCAAATCCGTGGTTTATGCCACTCTCCCACCGCTGCCCTAGCCCTCCTCCATGTGCCCACGGCGTCCTGCTGGTTCCCCCTTCCCAAAGCATGCAGAGTTTGATCGCCATCTCACCCCATCCTTGCTTGACCCATTTGCTGGGTTCCCGCCTCCGGCTTCCTTCATTAGAAATACCCATTTGTATCAGAGTAACAGATCGCAGGCTACAAGAATCTTCTTACTTTACAGAAGAGGAAACTGAGGCTCAGAGAGGGGAAAGATAATAATTTTACTAAGGTCACTGGAATTAAGTAGCAGATAGAGGTTGGATTCAAATCCAGATCCACTGATTACTGATTCAGGGTTTTTTACCATTAAAGGATGTTGGAGCCTTTAACGTGCTTCATCAAAAAGTGAGAAAGTTCTTCTCCTAATAGATGGGCTTGGCTGATAAAGATGCAATAGTGAAAAGAGTCCACTGGATTTGAGGACAAAGGACCTAGGTTCAAAGTTCTACGGGTCATCTCAGAGTCTCAGTTTCCTCCTCTGTAAAATGAGGGGGTTGAATTAGTTAACCTTTAGCGTTTCTTCTAGCTCTAAATCTGTGATTCTAGGAGTATAGTGGATTAAGCGATCTCGGTTTCTATCCCCAGCTCAGACACTTTTCTCTTTGGTGACCATGTGACCATGGCAAGTCACTTAAATCCTCTGAGCCTCCTCTCCCGGTCCTGTACAGTGGTCAGTGCTAGGCACCCCGCTAGGCAAGGCACAAGGCAGATGATACCTGCTTTACTTATAACCCAGGATTGGTGTGAGGTAGTTTCAAAAACATAAATCTGCTTGGGGCTTGCTGTGTGTCTTGTGACCTGGGTGAAGCTGCTGCCATTACCTTTCCTGAGTATTTCTCCTTTAAAAAAAATTGTTGGAGACTTCAAATGTGTTTACCCCCCTGGCTTTGCTAGTTAGTGCTCTTGTGGGCCAGGGGTGGGAAACCTGGGGCCTCCAGGCCACATATGGTCCTCTGGGTCTTCAAGTGCTGCCTTTCGACCGAATACAAATTTTACAGAACAAATCCCCTTAATAAAAGGATTTGTTCTGTAAAATTTAGACTGTCAAAAGGCTTCACCCTAGGATCTAGAAGGCGAGGCTGCAGGTTTCCCACCCCTTGGGCAAACCATAGACTCCCTACATCACAGTTTTTTTTTCATTTGTAAAATAAGGGGCTGGATTGTAAGTGATCTCTTAGGTTCCTTTTAGCTCCAAATCCTATGATCTTAGGGAGCCAGTGGCTTCTGTTTTGGTATTCCTAGAGTTCCTCAGTTTGCTCAGATGTTGGGCTTCAGCAAAACATTTGCTTTATGCGTATTTGTTTTGTAAATCCTTCTTTATCCTTCCTCACTTACCCAAAAGAGAGGTAGCTCTTAGTAACATTTAAAATTGGTAAATTGGCTTAACACTGCGATTTCCACTAGCCCATTGAACTGTCTCACCCAACATTTAGCAGCAGTAGCTCTATAGAAGGAAACCTTGACTTGGAAATCTGTGAACTTTTAAAAGAATTTTTGATAACTATTTTAATATAATTATTTCCTTTACAATCTTCTGTATTTTATTTTACATATTTAAAAACATTCTGAGAAGGAATCCATAGGTTTCATCAGAAACAAAAAGATGCAAAAGGATGTGTATAAGTCCTGTACTTGTTTGAATATCTTAATAGATTCAAAGCAGTATTTCAGGTTAATCACAGTTGAACTTACTCATAAGTTCATTCGGGTCATTGGGTACACTTATGAAATTGTTCCTTAAATTCTTGCCCAGTGAAACCAAACTTTGTGTTCTCCTCTGGGTTATATTAAACAACTATGTCAATATTTTGTGCAGAGGGCAAGCATAAGGCCTTTCTACAGTGTAGACTTTAGCACTTTGGCATAAAGTTGTATAATGGGCAGTGTGTTTTGAAGCACACCATTTCTGGTAGATAACCAGCTTTAATTTGAGCAGCAAGAATTCCAGATAAAATGGACTATTGCTTCCCAAGAGTCTCTTTAAAATACAGGGCAGATTGCCCAAGTGAGGCTGATTTCTCCTCTTTTTTTTTGTTTGTTTTTTTGACTTGAGGTAAACTTAACCTTCATCAGAAGGTTGGCAGAAGATTTAAAATGGTTAAATGTAGGTTATTCAGTTTTGCTTGTTGGGAGAGATGAGAATGACAAATGTCTGAAACAGTTTCAGGGTTATGTTTCCCCAGATAATTGAGATGGCTGTACCTCAATGAAAGGAAGAATCTTTACTGAATGATCACGTTGGAAGAAGGTCCCAGTAGAGATAGAGTACTTTTTGTTAGAGCCGATGACTTCACAGGATTAGACAACTTCACAGTAGTGACAAGATTAATTCCAAACTCTTTCCTTATTCATCATTCCAACCTCTGCTGGTATATTGGTCCTTGGTGAACTAAGTTAGCCTGTGAAAGTGGAGTGACCCTAGGGTTGTTAGAGACTGAACCTGTGCTAACTATAAACACCTCCTGTTTTCAAGTTTGTTCTGCTGGCTGCCTTGTAACCTGATGACCCAGTATCTATTTTAAGATATTGAGTGGTCCTCTTTCATTTGCGTTGCCCATCAATCAGGAACATCCTAGACACTGAGTCATTTCCTTTCAAATCCTCATAGTAAACAACACTGTCTACTCAGGAGTGTGCCTTCATCTGTCTCCTCTTGGGTACATTCTTCTCCCTTCTTCTCCTACCTTCTATTTTCTCCGAAGTTTCCCCTCACACCTTCTTCCCTGTCTTTGAGTAGTTATTCATTTGCCTACAAAGTGCTCTAGAGTAAATATCTTTCATTTTTACTTTCTATCCAGCCTTCAGTCTCTTATTATGGATGCCTCATTCCTAGACCTTATCCTCTGTTTAAACATTTGGCATTCTGTAATTTAACTCAATTCAGATTATGGTAATTCCATGGCAGGAGAGGGCATGATACATTTAGAGGAGAAGCTATCTTGAATGTGATTAGATCTGGGAATCAAGGGGCTGAAGCTATCTTGATTAATCTAGGGTGGGCCAGGAGATCAGTCATCAGTTCTGTTTGATTCTTTGACGCTGACTTGCTTGGTTAATCCAAGCAATTTTCAGAACTTAAACTAGTTTTTATGTCCCCCATATGGTAAAACATGTTACAGTAACCTATCTCTGTAGGTAGCACAAAGCTAATTATGCTGAGTGCCAGATAATGATAATTACTGTCCATAATGCTAGACTGCAGCCTTATACACAGCAAGACCTTTAGGTTATGAAAACAGTATTTCAGACTAAGAGAAATTAGAAAAAACTACAAGTGCCTATTGAACATTGTTTTGGTGTAGTTACTCGTATTCATTTTTAAAACTTTCTATTATATGATCAAAAGGTAATTTATTTGCCCATTATTTTAGTAATTGATACAGTGTGAAAAATTACTGAAGACGTTACAGCTACATTGTGGCCCAGAGAAGCCTTGTTAGTGATAATTCAATGCTGGTATGCAGTATTAGGACTTCTCTGTTAATTTCAAAATTCCACCCAGGGATGGAAAAAAGTTGCTATCTCTTTGTATAAAGGACTGCAGAGTTTGATTAGCTGGTCTAATTTCAGATGTTAATTACAGATTAGAACTTGTTCTCTTGGGTCCCTGCCTCCTCTGGAGTGATTATTAGGCAGTTTTGCCAGTCCTAGAGATGAGCTATTTAGTTGTAGAAGTTTCCTATTATATTTTCCTACCAGTGATAACTTGAATTTTGAGCAGCTATAGAATAATGTAGAATAATATGGATCATACAGTTATCACTGAGGCACAGAGTACTAAGCCGATAGGTAGGATTGTTTCCTATGGCATCAACTTGGAACCATTGGTCTGAATATCATGAGTCAGAAAATCACAAAATGGATTTATAATTCTGACACCTTGGATACCAAAGAATTGATCTTTTGATGTTGTAAGGTACCTTCTCAAGCTTACATTTACCCCCATTCAGTTGCCTATCTTTAAGGGACAAGCTTATTTGAAAATTCAGACCTCAGACCCCACTCCCTAGCTTTCTGGGATTTTTAATTTAAGAATCCAGTAGCCAGTGTCTCTTAATGCATTTCAGGCAGCAGCCTCCTGGCATTGATCACCCTTAGTTATACATTTTAGGAAGTTTTGCAAACTTAATGTAAGCCATTTTAGAGATATCTCCTCCACTTGAGACTAAGTTTTATCTCTGTAACCACTGGAAGGAATAAGCTGGCATTTACATTGATAGGTTTGAGTGTATTCCTGTCAAGCCCACTGTTTCCTTGCCTAATTACTGATGTGATTATCAGATTGCTCTAAAAAAAAAAAAAAGTTTGCTGGCTGTATTGTAGTTTGCTTTGTGATGAGCAGAAGTGAGGAGCCTGCTGCCCTCTGTACTCTTCTACAGTGTTTCCATTTTGCAATTCGAAGGTGAGAACTTAGCAGCATGGGAGGTGAAGTGGAACCTGCATGAGTTTCTGTGCTTGTCATGTACAGCAACGATTGGAGGTGGGGGGAAATGAATTTGTTTGCATGTTAATATTTATTCGTGTCAAATTTACTGTAATATGGATTACTCTTAACAACATTTTCCCCCAGATTAGAATGGACATTTCCCCCAACCTGAACTCAGAGGACATGTGGGGGAAGGAAATTCAGAAGTGCATTTGTTAGGGAGTAAAATGGATGTCTCTATTATGAGTCAGAGGGCCAGAAGTTCTGTATAAGGTAGGAAGGCTATTGAGTATGTCTTTCTTAATTTAACAGACTGTCAAAGGAAATGGCTAGAGCTGGGTGCTTGGTTCAGGAGGGTATAGGATGTGGAACCTGTGGACTGAATCCAAACTTCACAGAACAAATCTTGGCTCTCCGGGGCCTCACTTGAGGACCTGGAGGGCCACATGTGGCCTCGAGGCCAAAGGTTCCCCACCCCTGGACTGATGGGACCCACTTCACACTTTCCTTCCTCTGACAGTAAAACAAGGATCTCCCCAACTGGATTGTTAGCCACTTGAGGTCAGGGACCTGTTTTTACATTTCTTTTGATCCCCAGTGCTTTGTGCATTGCATTGCATGCAGTTTGCTTTTGTTGTTTTGGTAATAATGGGAAAGTCCCAAACCTCTCCCCTTAGGAGAATTTCAATTATGCCAACTCTTCGGTGATTATAAAATTTGAACAAATGTCTGCTGGGAACTAAGTTGAAATCACAAATCCACATCCAGAAAGAAAAATCTAGCTCCTTGTTTTATGTGGAAAGTAATAGGAACCATTTTGTTATTCATTTGAATGTCATTCATCCAGTAAGCATACATTAAACACCAGGCACTGTGGTAAGCCCTGACTGTTTTTAAGGGGTTTTGTTTGTTTCGTTTTACATCAATTCATAGAGTCTTAGACTTGTAAGGAGTCTTCTTAGAGCTTGTTTTTGTTTTCATTTTTGTGAGTGAGGGGTTTCACTGCAGGGTTTGGAATCCCCCTTTTAGTCTGTATCTAGAGACCAGAGTCATCCTCCTTTCTGGGACACACAAGCCTTTTTTTTGATAGCTTTGCTCTCCAGTCCCATTCTGAGAGTGCCACACTGAAGGTGGAGACTCCATACATTCGGGAGGGGGTCATCGAGGTCCTTTGCAGTGAAATTACATCCTCTCACTCTGGATGGGATGAGGTAATGCTCGGCCTGGAGAAGGGAACATGACTTGAGTTCAAATTCAGCTTCTGACAGTTACAGGCTTTATGACCCTGAGCAAATCACTTAATCTGTCTGCCTCAGCTTATTATTTATTATGATCTTTAGGGGGATCACAATAATACCTCCCTCCCAGAGTTGTGAGGATAAAATGAGGTAAGATTAGTAAAGTGCTTAGCACAATGCCTGGCACATAGTAGGTGCTATATAAATGCTAGCTGATATTATTGTTGGCACATTATTTCACCTTTTATGCTCATAGATATTTGCTTCTGTATTTAAGGCTGAGGATCATTTTTAAAAATATTTGAAGCTTGTTAGCCTGTCTCTTATTGCTTCCCTTAGCTCTGATTGGTCAGTTCTGAAGGCCTTCTGGTTTATCATCTGATATGAAAGTGCTGTGGGGTGCTTAGGTGGATAGGGAGAGCGGGAAAGGGCAACAGGTTGGCAAACTTTCCCCACCAGGGAAAAAGACTGTACTGAATGATAGTCAGATGATATAATGTTGATACAGTTACCATTCCCCGAGGGAATTGCTTCCATATTGTAGCCTAAGTCAGAAACAAGCCCGACCTTGTATCCACTGTTTTAAAAATGTTATAGGGAAGTGAGAGGTTATAGTATTCTCTCTTTGGGCTACATATGTGTACCTCAGCACTAAATTAAATTCTCCTTTTGCAGATTGTTTATGCCGAGAGGCCTCTCACTGACAACCACAGGTCGCTGGCTTCCTATGGCTTGAAGGATGGGGATGTAGTAGTTTTGAGACAGAAGGAGAATGCAGAACCACGAGCACCTGTTCAATTCCCAAGTAAGTTATCTTACTTCCAGGGGGTCAGCTGGCCTCCTGAACCATCTATAAGAAAGGAGGCCTTCCTACATGACATCATTCCCAGTTCTAGCTCTTGTTTTTCCCATCTCTATGCCTGTTTGACTACCTGGGCCCTTACTCATCTCATTACCCAGCCTGATAAGAGTAATAAATAGTACTTCAAGGATATGACTGGTTTTCTTTGTGTGGGCACTCCTACAACCTGTGCAGATTTCAGCCCCTCTCCATTGTAGCAGGTGGTTTTGTGGATGACTGTGGCCATCCTTCTGAGCTTCGCCAGGCTGAGCTCATGGATAGCTGCCATACACAAAGCCTTCCCTTGCTGGCACCAGTTAGCCTTTGAGCTCTGCTGGCATATATATCAAGAACCCAGAATTTCCTCCATGACACTGTGAGGTATTACAGTATCACTTCCATGGAAGACAATGCTGATGCAATCAGAGAAATTGTCTTTAAGTACCTGTTATGTGTGAGGAGCTATGCTTAGGGTAAAAAAAAAAGAAAAAGAAAAGATAAAAGGAGGCAGTTCCTGAGCTCAAAGAACTTGCTGTCCAATGACAAATAACATCAATAAATGAGGCATTCCTTCAAAAAGCATGGTATGATCTAAAATAGTGTGTGATAAGGGCAAAGGAGATCATTGTAAAAAGCTTGGAGAAATCATTTTCATGGGGAAAGCAGGGCATTCTGGAAGAGATTGGCATCCCAATTGGCCTTGAAAGAAAAGAGAGAATTCAACTGATGGATTGGGATTGGCTTTTCTACACATGGGAGTGGTGTCAGCAAGGCCACCGAAGTAGCTGAGGACAGCACAGGAACCGGGAGGAGAGAGCAGACTAATGTGATTGGAATTTGGAAAGTGTGAGGAGGGTGAGCAGGTAGGCCTGAGTCAAATCAACTCAACAAGCACTTATGGAGCACCAGTTCTGTGTATGCCAGGCACCTCACTAACCTCTGGGGATACAAAGAAAGGAAGGGTATGGAAGACAGTCAGGGAGAAGGCACAGAAGGGATGGATGAACCAGCAAGGAGCCCACTATCAGATCTCAACAAGTCCGTGTGGTGGAGGTGGAGCGGGTAAAGTATGAGAAGACTGGAAAGATAGGAAGAGGTCAGGTTGTAGAGGACTTTTAAGTGCCAAACACCATTTTATGTTTGATTCTTTCTTTTTTTTTTAATCCATTTTTTTATTAATTTATTTTTAATTTTCAGTAATCACTTCCATAAGCTTTTGAGTTTTAAATTTTTCTTCCCTGACCTCTCTCCCCAAGACAGCACGAAATCTGATGCAGGCTCTACATGTACATTCCCGTTAAACATTTTCTCATTAGTCATGTTGTAAAGAAGAATTAGAGCCAATAGGAGGAACCATCAGAAAGAGGAAACGAAACAAAACAGAAGAGGAACAAAAGAGCAAGTAGTGTGCTTCAATCTACATTCAAACTCCATAGTTCTTTCTTTGGATGTGGATAGCATTTTCCATCATGAGACTTTTGGAGGTGTCTTAGATCCTTGCATTGCTAAGAAAAGCCAAGTCTGTCAGTGTTAGTCATCGCACAATGTGGCTGTTGCTGTGTACAATGTTCTCCTGGTCCTGCTCACTTCACTCAGCATCAGTTCATACAAGTCTTTCCAGGTTTTTCTGAAGTCTGCCTGCTCATCATTTCTTACAGCACAATAGTATTCCATTACCTTCATATACCACAACTTGTTCAGCCATTCCCCAGTTGATGAGCATCCCCTCAATTTCCAGTTCTTTGCCACCACAGACAGAGCTTCTATAAATATCTCTGTACGTGTGGGTCCTTTGTTTGATTCTTTCTAAAAGCACTTTGACATCGTCTTGTTTGATCCTCACAATGGCACTGTCCAGTCAAAAAGCCTAAGCTTGGCTTCTTGTAGAGGTGATGAGTGGATGATGTGAGGTCACCTGAATGACAGGTGGCGAAGCTGGGGCTAGAACCCCTCCTGGCTCAGCACCCTTTCCATTATTCCACTTGAAATGATCGTAAGTCAGTTTCTCATCATTTCACTCCTGCTGTGCCCATCAAGGCAGGGTCTCTCATCTGTCTCAGAAACTCTGTCCAGGCTACCTAATGGACAGTTATCATTCCCCTCTTGCACGCACCCCACCCCCAGTAACTCATGTCTGGATTCTTAAATGGGGGTGGGGGGGGAGAATGGATTTCAGGAAGCCTGTGAACTTGAATGGGGAAAAAATTAGGTCATTGTTTTCATCCATCTCTAACTGAAATTTAGCAGATTTCCTTCAGTTATTTTAGAATATGATTCTGAGGAAGGCGCCCATAGGTTTTACCAAGGCTGCCACGTGGGGTTTTCTGCCGTTGATAGCCTTCTTTAAGCTTGCTTAGCCTCTCAGTCCCCTGCCCCACCCTCCAGCTGATGATAATGACAGTAGGTGCTTGTCTGATAGCGAGAGTGAGCAACTGTCTGATTCTGGGGGGTTTGTCCTGCCCTTACCTGAGCACAGCAGGAGAACTCAGAGTTTGAGACCCCTCGTGAGGAGCGGCAGGCATGTCAAAGAAGCTGTTAGTTTGGAGAAGGCTGTGTCCATACTTGAAGCATCCAGACCTCTCAGTTTTATGAACTTATAACCCTGAGACCTGTGTTCTCTCAGGTGTTGGCTAACATTTTCTTGATAACGTTCATCCGACAGAAAGCTTCTCATGATGCCTCACAGCATAGTAACCCTTTTTTATTTTTTGCAACTTGGAAAAGAGTCATTGCTGTGGCCAGGAGGAAACACAAGCGTGCTTGAGGGAAGCAGCTGACCAAGCCTTTCTACAGTTTGATTTGATATTCTCTGGGTTCCAGGAAGCCACTAACTAACTTTGTTTGATGCTTTTGTAAGCAAATAAAAATAGAGTGCAACTTAATTTTAATTTTAATTGGTCCGTTTCTGTGGGAGCTAGTAGGTTGCTGAGGATGGTTACAGCATGTTTGCATTGTTTATAAGTGTTTTTGAACTATATGGTTTTGTGGAGGCTAACTTTTATGTCTTTAGCCAGCAATCATACAGAAACCTCTTGTGTTTCCTAAGATTGTGACTTTGTATAGGTTCCACAAACTACCAACCCAGTAAGACAAACCTGGGTTGTTTGTAGTTTTGGGTTTGTTTTTTTTCTTTTCTTTATAACTGCCCTGCTTTGAATATACTTCAAGATAGGGTGTGGCCAAAATGGAAAGAAAACTCCTGGTCCCGAGCTAGAAAGCCCACAGATGTTCCACCAGTTAGGGTAGATAGGGAAGATAGAAAACCTATCTCACAAGAGCAGGGGATCACTCCCCTCAGCCATACCCCCTCCCAGCTTTTGACTGGTAAACTCTTATTGGGCCCATGCAGAAACCCAACTGAGGGTGTGGTTACATGAGCTCACACTAGGGAGGGGAGGTTAATTCTTTCTCTGCCAGATGTGAAAGGCACATGAATGATACTGGGAGTCCTGTGTTCAAGATCATTCTTATGTAGAACAAATCACAACACCTCTGAGCTTTGATTTCCTAAGCTGCAAAATTCAACAAAGGTTTATTAAATACATGCAGCATGCAAGACACTGTCCATGCAAATTGGAAAAATAACAGTCTCTACCTGCAAAGGGCTGTGGGGAACATGTTGCATCCACAGCTGAATAGGATATAGCATAAATGTGATGGGTCAGAGGAGGGGTTGGCAAAGTGCTATGAGAAGTTTGTGGAGAGAGAAATCCAGGAAGGCTTCATGGACCAGGTGAGGGCAAGTAAGTGGACCCTGAAGGAAGAGAGGGATTTCAATAGGTACAGATGCATGAGGAGGGTTGTTTACTCCACCTGGGGAATCCCCAGAAAATAGTTAAGGAGATAGGAAAGAGAACAGTGATCTAGTTTTCCTGTAACTTGGGGAAGGTGGAAGGAGAAGCCTGGGCAGCTAGCCTGGAGCTTGCCTGTCAAGGGCTTTGGATACCAGAATTAGTCTAACCTGAACCGTGCATTGGATTGAAAGGGAGATAGAGTAGAAACAAGAAGGTGGGTCTGAGTAGTCTGAGCTGATAGAGAAGTGGAGAAGAAGGGCGAGATACTAGAGATAGGGCTCTCACAGCACGAGATCTGTGCAGGGAAAGTTGGGGAGTTGTCCCACCTAACTCTGAGATTATGCCTCAGTGACCAACAGGTAAGGGTGCCTTCAACAGAAAAGAAATTGGGAAATGGGCAAGTTTAGAGGAGAAGATGAGGACCTTAACTTTAGACGTGTTGAAGTAAGCCATCCAGGTGGTAACTCTCTGGCAGGCAGCTAGAAATAGGAGGCATATCCATTTTTAGACATGGCCAGTGTCAGAATCTGCTTTGCTTGACTACGCAGATGGTTTTTCTCTTCAGTTTGAGGGTTAGAAAGTGGAAAGTCGAGGTTGGGGAAAGGTTGCCAAAAGAAAGAATCATTGAGGCCTTTTGAAAAAAATACAAAGAAGAGAACATGTGGAAGACTAGACAAGCAGGATAGCTTTGAAAGTTACGTGCTGAATTTATTATATACCTAAAAAGAAAAGCAAAATATATATACACACTAGAGACTTGCAGTTTTGTGTGTAATCCTCTTCTGGAAATACTGGTTTTATTTGTTAAATTGAGAGTAAAAAAATAAAAATTTAAAAAAAGAGATATGGGACTGATGCTTGATAAACAGCTTTAGGAGCCATCTGCATAGAAGTGATAGATCTAGGGGGAGAGAGTGAGAGAAGGAAAAAAGTTCCTAGGATAGAAACTGGAGGGAGGGAACCATGAGAGTGTGCCGTCATGGTATCTGGAGGAAAGGGATGGGCCGTGGCTTCTGTGCCACAGAGAGGTTGAGGAGGAAGAGGACAGAAAATGGGTCGTTGGATTTGCCGGGGAAGGACTCTCCTAGTGACCTCAGAGAGAACTGTTTCAGTGAAGAATCCTGCTTCTATTCTGTGCCTCATTGGATCTTGGTGGAAATTCAGTGAGATCATAAGCTGCCTTTAGATAATTTAGCTCCTCAGACGAGACTAATGTAATTAGTCTGTAGTTTAAAAAAATATATATGGTTAAGATTGGAAAAAATGAATCTAAATTCAGCTGGACCAAACCATTCTATCTATGATCTCAGGGAAACGCCTTTGTTTTCTTTTGAACTTTTTTTTTAAACCATTGCTTTTTTTTTAACCTTTAATTTGAATAATGACAGCTCCGTTTAGAATCAGTCATGCTTGTGGGAGTTATATTAAGAGCCCTGTTACAGCTTTATTTATATTCTTTGTGTAAAGTATCTGTACCGTTTTCTTCTTCTGCCCATAAAATGAGGCTGATTGCTAGCCTCTGACCTCCCAGAGCATTGGGAGAGTCAATGAGTTGGCTTTTAGAAGGCTCAGATGAATGTGTGAGTCCAGAGTATTGTTGGAAACCTACCCAAACCAGTAACGCAGGCCAGCCCAGACTTGCAGAATTTAGCATCTAACAACCTTGTCTCTCTTTGCCAATTAGAGTATTCCAAGTGTCAGGGTTTTTTAAGGCAGAGGCAGGACCAGACCAAGGTTTTGCCTAGGGCCACGTCCTAGGTATATGAGGATCTGCAGTGTAATTGCTTCAAAAAAATTCCATGTGTCTACTGAGGCAGCAGTATGAAGAGAGGCTTCCCTCTCTTGGGTGGTTTTGAAACAATAGTTTGCATATCACAATTTACTTCTTTGTTCTCTCTCACCTTAACAATATTATTGACCTAGATCCTCTGTGCCACAGAAGTAGTTGAGAAAGGGGGGCAGACATAGTGTCGGGGGAAGGGCTCAGGATCTCCTAGGCCACCCGCCATTGCATGACCTTCCTTGGAATAAGCTATTTCTATGTTTTTCCTTTTCATGTTGTCATTTGGTATAAACTTTGAAATTATTTCTCCTGCCAGGCCTGCCCCGGATAGACTTCAGCAGCATAGCTGTGCCTGGCGCATCAGGCTCCCGACTGCACCAGCAGCCAGCCCAGCCACCCCGGGCATCCCCAGCAGACCCAGCTTCATCCCCGCAGGGCTTGGACAATCCAGCATTACTTCGAGACATGTTGCTTGCCAATCCCCATGAGCTCTCTCTGCTCAAGGAGCGAAACCCACCCCTGGCAGAAGCCCTGCTCAGTGGAGACCTTGGTAAGCCTGTGTGGCTGTCACTTTGTCAAGCTGACCTCGAGGGAAGGTGGGTTGTGTCAGGCTTTTCCATCAGGCCCGGAGTCCTGGCTGGCTGAGAATGGCTGAGTGGGGTGGAGCTTGGCTCCAGTGTCAAGGGGCACGTTGGCAGGCATGAAGCATGGAGATCTTTTCTAATTGTTCTTAGCATGTCCATAGTGGATAACCGTTTTTGATTTTCAGGCCTGTTCAGTGGGGAAGCCTTTATAGAAACTCAGCCAATAAAGCCATGGGGTGGCAATTAAAGTGGTTCTTGTGACTTTGCCTCAGGCAGCCGTGTAGAACAGTGAGTGCCCTTTCTTGGCTTAATCCCCCAAGTTTGATTCTGGGTAATAGTGGGTCTAGACACTTGGAGCTCTGTTGTTTGCAGTGCCTGAGAAATGGAACAACTGATACAATTCTTTTTCAGACATCTGCCTTTGTTCTTAAGCATTGCCATTCTAAAAGGCATCCCTTGCAAAAGAGATTATTTCATCAAACTTTATTTTCTTTATAGTTTATATTTCTTTCTAGTCTCACATTTGTGACCTTGATAAGAGCTCTCATGGTATTGAGATGTTTGTTTTGGAGGAACCTGTTTTTATTTCTCATGATTACACGACTGATTAATTGCTTGAGGTTGCACTAATGTATCATAAAGGTTGCATGGCTTAAAAAAAAAAACCAAAATGTTAGATGTCAGAGTAAGGATTCTGTAGTTAGCAACCACATACCGTTTCTGATGAGCTTTCTGCCTACTGATGCTCATTGAACATGCTTACATAAAGTATGCACTGGCTGACATAGTCATTTGCATTTAATTTCTCTGGTTTAAGGAAAAGGTTTTTTAAAGAATAGAAACTATTAGCGATTTATATTATTTACAATAGATAGGTTGGAAGACAACCACGCAGAGAACCCTGAGACAGTTATCTGGCAGATAATAGTTTCCCATTAATTTAACCTCAAACTGTTCATTTAGAGGCAGGTATGATTAAACTCTTACGAGAATAAATGATCTTGTTGAATGCTTGGCTTAAAGAAATAGTTTTTATTGAAAGTTCTGATGCTAAATGCATAATTCAAGGCAGTGACTAAATCGACATGAGCTTTCCAAATTGTTTTTAGATATGCTCTTTACATCTGTCTTGTGGGTGGGTGCCTTTTGAGAAGTTGTTAGGTACAATAACACACAGTAGAAAGGCATAAGATTCCATCCCCTTGGAGTTTGGTCGTTCACGTCTTTCATTTTTGCAGAGAAATTTACTAGGGTCCTGGTAGAGCAGCAGCAGGACCGAGCCCGGAGGGAGCAGGAGAGGATCCGTCTCTTTGCGGCTGACCCCTTTGATCTGGAAGCTCAGGCCAAGATAGAAGAAGATATAAGGTAACAAACCACCTCAGCCCAAGGAAAAGGAGGCTTTGTGCATAGCAGGATTCTCAGAGGACAAAGAGTCTTACCTGAGGGGCTCTTCAGAGTCCCAGGGCTTACAGTAGATGTATTCGCCAGGCAGGCACTTTGGTTTCCTGTCCCATTAGCCCCAGTGTCTGATGGAACATCATACAATTGTTGGTTCTTTCATGATAAACTGATGACAACAACTTGGACGATTTTCTTTCCCCGATAATTCCATAAGCGTTTCTGTGGCTAGCAGCGAGTAGTGCTAAAATGGTATTCAGATGCACCAGCGTATAGAGACAGACAGCTCTGAGAGACTCAAGAACTCTGATCGATGTGCTGATTAAAAACCCCTGAGTCCAGAGGCCCGAAGAGGAATCACGCCACCCCCCTCCTGCCAGAAAGGCGGGGGACTTAAAACCCACATTGAGACAGATGTGCTGGGCCATGATCAGTTTGGGGATTTGTTTTACTGGGCAGTGAATGCTTGTGGTTAGGGTCTTGTTTGTGCAGCGGTGGGTGCAGTGAAAGGGAAAAAGAATAAATACCTGCAAAACTTTATTTTTTGAAGAAAGATGATGTGCAAGGGAATTCCCCAAGGCGGAAGAGGAATTTCTCCAGCTGACAGGATGCTCCAGGTCAATTAAATAGGCTTGTTTGAGTCTTAATATCCTTCAGCAGGTTTCTTGACTCCTTGTGATTTTTAGTTCAGAGTTTAAGCTTATTTCTAGTAGAACAGCAACTCTGCAAAGATATTTTGGAATCCTAAATCTATTTGGCTTCCATGCTTCCTGCTCTGCCCTCAAGGGATGGTCTGTATAACAGGTTTCCTGCTCAGATTTCTCCAGGGCCACATTATATTTGGGCATTTTATAGTCAATACCAAGATTTTATTGTGACAAGCCTGTTAATTTAACCTCAATCTCGAAGAAAGAGTAGTTATGTTCTTGCGGATTCCTGTATTGTCCCCAGTGATGAAGATCAGCCTTCAGATTTGACTGTCTGCCTCTGTGGCCCAAGGCAGAGTTCCTAGTTTCTCTTGTGAGCTTTGTTCTAACAGAAGTGAAGAGCATTTTAGGTAGTAAATTGAATGCGCAACTCACATAACAAGGAACTATTTTTTAGATTTTTTTCTGTGAAAATTGAAAGTGCATATTATGTTACCATCAAGCTAGAAATAAAAGGAATGTACATATCCTTTTGGTTCCAGGCTTTGATTCTTGCCCTCATCAGCATTATCAGAGCCTAGTAAATGGCTTTTAGAAACGGTCCCTAGCAGGTTGACCAGGTGAAATAGGAAAGCAGGAGTGATCAGCTCCAATGCATGGCACCATGGAAGGCCTCAGCTACCTAGAGGTACCCTTGGAGGCCTGGCTACTGAGGGCCAGGCCTGAGATTTTTGTCAACTACAAAGCAGTGTTAACAGATCTCTTGAAATGTCACCATGATGTTGGGCTATTGGAAAAAAAGAAAAGTGAGAGGAACTGGGGATATCTGTAAGGCTCATTTTGCTTCCCAGAGGAAAATTAAGACATCTCTTCCTTTAAAAAGGAAACCTTGTATGCTTTGAATAGCTTCCTGTGTAGCATGCACAGAATCAGTGAATGACCAGTACTAGTTTACAAGGGATTGTAGCAGAGCTTCATCTTTGTTCAATTAATACAAAGTCACCATTGTACAACACACTTTGCTTTCTTTCTAAATTTCCCCCACAGATTTGGCTTTGTGAGGAGGCTGGCTTATGCTGGCACTGCACCCATCAGATTTTTGGATTGTGCCACTGGGGTGATTGCAGAGGGTTTAGGGAACTGAGGCGTCATAAGATCTTGTGGGAAACTTGAGAGATCCCACATTTGAGGTCAGGTGTCTGGACCTTCCATTCTCAGCCTGCCCAAGAAGAGGACTGTTTTATTGCAGGATGACCACTGCCCACCGAGTCACTTCAGTTCTAATATTTTCGCAAAAGACAGACACATTTTTAGCTCATCAGTTGCCTTAAAACATTTCCTTTTCTTAGTTTTGGAGGACGTGATTTGACCCAGGGTGTATCCAGAGCCATCAAGCAGTGCGCCATATTGAAATGCACTTCTGCAGTATTTCACAGCCGTTGTATCTGTGACTAGAACAGTGCTTGATTTCATTAGTCACGAATACTGGAAGCATCCAGGTCTGAAGAGTACAGAGGTGGTATTGCAGTTCCTTTCCCCCTTCAAGACTGTCTAAAGAGATGAACTCGGATGCCAACTTGGTCTATTCTGTTCTTAGTATTTGGTTGTTTTGGAGCCTCTTCTGGCTCCTGTACAACATGGACGCTAAGTACAGTGGAGAAGTAGTGGCCTGGGAAACCACAGACAAGCCAAATTCTGGTTCCCCCCAAGGGCCCTCAAAGGCGTGTGATTGTAAGCAAATCACCAAATGATCCTTCAGGGAGCAGCTAGGTGGTGCAGTAGATAGAGCACCGGCCCTGAAGTCAGGAGGACCTGAGTTCACATTCGGCCTCAGACCAAACACTTGACACTTACTAGCTGTGCAACCCTGGGTAAGTCACTTAACCCCAATTGCCTAACAAAAACAAAAACAAAAACAAAAAACAAGTGATCCTTCATCTGTCTTTCATCTGTCAGATGAAGTTCCAAAGGCTACATGACCCTTCTTTTGTTGGAGTTATGGTCTTTGGAATAGCGATGAACTTTGACCCCAGATTTTAATCCTAAATACATTTCAAGCTACTTGACTGCAAAATTCAACCTACCTCCTCCTGTTGTCTGCAGCCTCAGTTTCTACAAGAGAAATAAAACATAGCCTCTTCTTACATAAGTGTTATTTTATCCTCAGATCATGAAGAGATTTCTCTGAACAACATGCATTTCAACTCTGTTAAGCAGCCTGTCGCTGGATAAAAGTACTCCTTTCCAAAGCCATCACTCAGCTGCTCATGAGCAGCCTGCACTTGAGGCCAGGAGAAATGGGCAGATGTGTTTTTAACTGTTTTGTTTAAAACACCTAGATTTCTGTTAATAGAGATAATGCTCTTGGTACCTGATTTTGATTTGTTGTAGGCAACAGAACATTGAGGAAAACATGACAATAGCCATGGAGGAAGCTCCCGAGAGCTTTGGCCAAGTTGTGATGCTTTATATTAACTGCAAAGTGAATGGACATCCCGTGAAAGCATTTGTGGATTCAGGTGATCCTGCCTTCTCGCCCTCCTCTTTCCTGACCAGACATAGCCAATGAGAAGGTCCCAGGTGTCTTTACATCAGCAGTCAGGAAGTCTGGGGATGTGGGGCGCCTTGTCCTTTGGGCAGTGCCATTCCTAAAACCCACTCAGTGAATGAACTTTACACATGCTCAGTTTGTGCTCCAGGGGTTTGTATTGTAGAGTAGAAGGAACTCCAAAGTCAGGAGAGGCCTAGGTTGGGATCCAGGGTTGCAAGCTTTAGTGGAGCTTCTCTTTGCAATCTGATTTCTTCCCTGTAAAATGGGGGTGACTGAGCTTGTACGTTTTTCTATTACTTTAATATTTACAGAGTTTAGAGAAATGTTGGTATTGTTGCTATCATCATGGCTCAAAATTAGGAAAAGGAGAGAGTATTGTAGGCTGAGATGAGGAAGGAGATGAGCTTTGGTCTGAGCTAGAGGTGGGGGATGGGATTTAGATAAAAAGAGGAGAGGCCATTTCCTTGAAGGGTAAGGGAATGAGCAAGGGGAAATAATGGTCTGGGGCAGGCTGGCACATTTGTATATAGGAATAGTATGTGCTCAGATTGGCAAGGTAGGGCTAGAAAGAGTATGGCAGACCTTGAAAGCTAGGCTTAGGAATTTGGCCTTGATCTTAAGCCTGGGTTCACTGTGTTGTCACTGGGTAGTCTTAGAAGGTTTTTTGAAGGTGGCTTGCAGAATGGGGCATGTTGCTAACCCTGAAACAGGCAGGCTGCTGTCCTCACATCACAGTAAGACTACGTGGCCGCTACGGTAGTTCAGGTATAATGTCCTGAGGTCCTGAACTCTGTGTAGTGGAAGGGCTTGTGGGAAGGAAGGAAGGGAGAAGAGAAATGTGAAGAGAACCCCTGGGCTTTAGTGACTGACAGGGCAACTGGACAAGTGAAGGCTCTTGGAGGATGTAGGAAAGTCAGGATCTTATGGTGTGTGCATTCATGGTCAGGGCTAAGATCATGAGCTTTGCTTTAGATAAGTTGAGTTTTGAGATCACCTTGTAGCTGACAAAGTGGAAATGTCCTAGCAAAGAGTTGGAAATGTGAAGCTAGAGATTGGAAGAGAGGTTAGGAGAAGAAGCCATCAATAGGAGGTCAAAGTTGAGGTAAAGAAGGCACAATCAGCCTCTTGTCAGAGCTACATGAATCAGTGTCACATGTCCAGAAGCAGAAATTGGCCTGACTACCCTCATCATTTAATCGAAATGATCTGAATAGTTGGGGCCACAGGTGGAAACTTGAGGCTAGGGGTCGATTCTGAGCCCTCCTATCCACTTTTTTCAAGGCAAATAGGTAAACTCTGAACTCAGTCATTTGATGCAAGCAGCTCAGAATTTAGCAGTAACATCTTCAGAAACTTGGGGTCATCCTTTGAACACACATTTTATCCTCTTCACCTGTGTCTGGGGCTGCTGGGACCCTTGTGCACCATTCTATCCTGCTGTCAGTTTTGACTTTCTTGTGCTAGTTTCAGAATATCTATAAGAAACAAACAGGGCCTGTGCTGCAAGGAAATGTTTATTCATTCGACAAAATATTCATTAAGCATTTCCAATATACAAGGCACTGGAAATACAAAGCCCAAATAGCCCTTGGCCTTATGGAGCTTACATTTTATTTGGAGGAAACAGCACAGCACGTCCAGCTTGGTTGTGGGGCAAGTTTCGATCCAGAATAGCCATCTCAGTCAAAGCCTGATGTGTGGCCCGCTTAACAAGGGCAACTCTGAACTTCTAGTTCCTTCTTGTTAGTCAGGAAAGTAAACAAATCTTGCTGTGGGTGTGTTGCGGGGGGGGTGGACCTTGGTCTTGCTTTGGGCTCCATTCTAGTTAATTATGGATCCTTCTCCTTCATGCACGCCATTGACGCAAGGCGTGAATTGATGGATAGAGATTGTTAAATGGTTCTCAAACATTTGTGGTACTGATGTCTCTTCTTCGCAGGAGCCCAGATGACCATTATGAGCCAAGCTTGTGCAGAAAGGTGTAATATAATGAGACTTGTGGATCGTCGATGGGCTGGTATTGCCAAAGGTGTTGGCACACAGAAGATTATCGGCAGAGTGCATCTGGGTAAGTAAAGATGCAGAAGTTTAGTGTGAGTTTTTTCCATTATGATAGTAAGATACATTGTCTCATTCAGCTAAATAGATTGTGTCGTAATTACTCTATACTTGGGGAAGGGGTATTATTTTCATAACTTTCCTCATAGAAGAATGATTGATTTTTTTCGTTGCTGGTATTGGCATGGCAGTGTCAGTCACTGGAAGGAAAAGAACTTCACCTTCCTGGTTATGGAGATCTCTGTTGGCCTGTTGGTGAGCTTGTTAGACCTCACAATCTGTTGGCACTCTCTGGAAGGAGTATATCCCTCTTGCTGGATGTCTCCGAGCAGAGACTGAGCAAACTCCTGGTGAAAGTGTCATAGTAGGGGTTGGGCTCCAGAGACAGCCTTTGATAAGGGCCCTTCTGACCAGTGCTGAGATCCTGTGTTTCTAAATTTTTAAAACTTGAGCTGTGGGGGATATTCTTTGCTGCTTTGAAAGTCAAACACCTAAGGGCAGGAGTAGGCAGAAGCTCCAGAAATGATTAGCTGATTGTTCTCGAGGCCCAAGCTGCATGACTCCAAGCTTCTTTCCCAAGAGTAAATAAAGCTGATAGAAAGAAGCAGCTAAAAAATGATATGTTTCCCTTGGCCTTTCTTGTTCGTGAGCAAGTTGAAAAGGAATTAAATAAGCCTGATGGAAATATGTTTATAGACATGAAAGGTTTCCTTGTAGACACAAATCAGTTATTGGATCCATTCTCTCTAGAAGCCCAAGCCTTCTTAGACATCTGTATTTTCTATGTGACCAGCCTCTGCATCTAAATATTCAGAACTACTTATAAAAAATAAAAATCTTAACAATTTTCTTAAATTTAACGGATAATAACTGATACTCGAGTCAAGTATAAAATTACTGAAGGTCTTAGCCAGATGGATAAGTAAACACACCAAGTGAAAAGATTGACAGCAGATGAATTGCCTTTGGAAATATTTCTATCCCAAAGGAGGGAGGAGATTATGGGTCATGTTCCATTTTTGTATAATCCACAAATTCCAGAAAGACCCTTGTAATTTGCAGGTATTTTGCCCATTACATTTGACAGGTATAGTACTCCAAAGGCAAACCCTGGCGGCATAGCTGGTTTGCATTTGTCAGGGGATGAGTTGTTGGGAGTAAGCCAGACAAGCAGAAGAAGGGTCTGAAGAGTGAGAGATCCTTCTTCTTACTTTGGATGAAATCATCGTCTTACTGTAGAACTTTCTTAAAGCCGTAAGTGAGAAGAAAATACTTCACGTCAGAGAAATGGCTTATTTTTACAGTTTTCCCACAAATTCTGCATCTGCTCTAAATATCATCATTCTACCTCAGACTAAGCATGCCTGTCACTTGTTATACCCTGAGGAATCTCTTGAGCCGCAGCCCAGACTAATTTTTTAAACCAAGAAACACAAAACGATCGTTGATTCCAAGAGATTTATATGTACTCATTAATCATGATCATTGCCTCAAAACAATTGTCATTTGGAACCTCATTGACTTCAGAATCTGGCAACAGAAACTGCTGGGCCATATTTCTAGCAATCCCGTTTCCAAAGAATGACCTGGACCTTCATGAAACTCATAGCAGTGTCTGCTTTTCTCTTTGTGCTTCAGCTCAAGTTCAGATTGAGGGGGATTTTCTGCCATGTTCCTTTTCTATACTTGAGGAACAGCCCATGGACATGCTTCTGGGACTGGACATGCTTAAGCGACATCAGGTAACTCCTTTTGTTCTTTCTTTTGGGGTCTGGTGATATGGGGGGGGAGGCGGGGGGTCGGGGGGTGGTGGTGGTGGTGGTGTATAACAACATCTGCTGGTATACTAAGTGTCTGTTTGATTCTGTGCCCTGACTGGGTATCTGAACTGGAGAGAGCAAAAGCTGGTCTCACACTGGAAACCTCTCTCTTCTTGTTGCCTTCCTGGCCTGTCAAGATTAAGAGCATCACTGCAAAGAGAAGAGATCTGTCTTTCCGTTTGTGGGCATCTCAGCTGCCAGCTTTTTGGTGATCTGCTAGCCCTCTGAGTCTGCTGGAGAAGATGGGCTGGTTAGAGCACACTGGGATAGCCAGCAGAAATGTCATCCTTTCCCATACAAATTGTAGATTTTTACTAAAATAATTCTGGAATTTGTTGGTAGGGACCTTATGCAAGGTGGTTGTTCTATGAGTATAAGAATGCTGATCCCTAGCTTCTACTAGGTAAAAAAAGTCAGTCAACTTTTCCTTTAGATTAAGGGATTGTCTGTAGTTATGTGAAAACATTTATTGGGACATAGAATGCACTAGCACTGTAAGGGCTCATGGCTGTAAACCCAGGATGCTCTGCCTTTGCTAATGAAACCCAACAGGCATTTATTGAATACTGCCTGTGCGCATGTCAGGGTCTCTGTGTTGAGAATATTGGTCCCTCTGTCTCCTCCAGGAGCTTACAGCCTGATAACCAGCGCTCTCCGCAGGCAGTCAGTGATGGGTGTGTTTGAGGACACAGACCTACTTATGTATATGTGCTGATACCTGCACAGTCAAGGCACAGAATTTTATGCAAGTGAATAAATACCTGGGGTGGACTTGTGATTCCCCAGGTAAAGAGAACTCCCAGGGAGGGAATTCTCTACTTTAGAACAGTTCTTCATCTTCTTGTCTTGAGAGAACTTCCTGAGGTCTCTGAGAGTCTCAGTGACTTGCCCTGTGCTCAATATAGACCTACTGTGTGTTAGGGGTGGCACTTGAACTCAGGTCCCCAGGGCCAAGTGTCTTATCTGCTAGGCCATGCTGCCTCTCCTTTATCCTTTGGAATGATCAGAAACAGACCTGTGGTTTTTTGTGGCCACTTACCATCAGCTTGGATTCCAGGCATAACAGACACAGGGCAGAAAATGCTATTTTATGATTAAGCAGTAATGTTTTACCAATTATTCTTCTACCTTAAATGTGATTGCTATTAATTCATGGTACCTGAAAACTCTCCATTATTAAGCAGAATCTTTCAGGACAGAGCTCTAGCCCTTTTAGCCAGTGATTCACTTGACTTTCTTTGGCGCCTGTAAGTGTTGCTCCTGGCAAATGGTAATTTCCATTCAAGTGCATCTCTTCATTTGAAGAGCTGAGCTTTTCTGATGACATTTAATCTGTTGCATTTAATCAAAATCAGTGCCAGCCTATGCATTGCGGAGCAGAATCCTTTTCATTTGGGGTTTGATTTCATCTCTCTCAGTGTTCCATTGACCTCAAGAAAAACGTGCTAGTGATTGGCACCACAGGCACGCAAACCACCTTCCTTCCAGAGGGAGAGCTCCCCGAATGTGCGAGGTTAGCCTATGGTTCAGGGCGAGATGACATTCGGCCAGAGGAAATCGCAGACCAAGAACTAGCAGAAGCTCTTCAGAAGTCCGTCGAGGATGCAGGTATTTGAGCCGGCTGAATTTCCTCTTTGGGTGATGGATGGGTGAGCCAGGAAATGGGCCAGCCTTGGAATCTAGGCCCCTTCTGGTGCTGCTTGGCTCAGTGCATGCCTCCTAGAAGGCCTTCTCTCACAGCCCACTCCCATTTCTTAATATAGTGAAGGAAAGCAGAGCGGTTCAGTCAGACCCAGAAGAAATTTGTTGCTATAGGTGATGTCTATTGAGGAGTTCCTTCCTCATGAATCTTTTACTAGGTGTCTTATGTTTCTTGTGTTTTTCCTAAAAGAAGCCCTTGTACTTCAGAAAAAGGCCCCCTTTTATAACAGTCTTGCAAACACCTGCCTCATTTCTAATTGAGGAGATGCAAAGTGGGGTGATTACAATCATTCCTCCTCTCCTTTCTCTCCTGCCCCCTTTTTGACAGGAAGTTGGAAAAGTGAAAAGAGTAGCTCTCTCTATCTGGAAAGAAATGTCCTTTCCTTTATCCTCTGTGTTTTCTCTGAAAATGTTGCCAGAATCAAAAGGATAGATAGCAAGGGATGTCATCGAAATTGCAGGGGGGTTTTGTGCTTCTGATGAGACCACATGGTTGAACAGTGACATACAGTTCAAAGCCGCCTGATATCTTTTTCTATGTCTTATGCATTGTGACCTGGTAAGGCTAGAGACTAGTCACTTAGCCAAGATTTTTAGGGCAGAATGAAAAGTTTCAGTCTAGAGTTGTATATCACCATGGCTAATGTCCCACAGAGTGCTATATTACTTGTGTGGTTAGAGGTCATATTGACATGGCCACAGTTGATAAGGGGATATACCTGTTTCTTAAAGGAAAACTTTAATAGTGAAGTAATTCTAGATTTTTCTCCAGTTTGTTAACTGAATACAAACCAGAACTGTGACCAGGTCCATTTTGGAGTGGGGGCAGTGGAATGAGCTGTATTGGCTTTACTTCTCTCTTGCTACCTTGAACCAGAGATGCATGTACAGAGTACTTCTCTAGCATTGGTGTTTTGCAGTGAGGCAGGGCCTGCTGAGGGGCTGAAATGGAAAATTATTCAGAATAGGTACTGCAGAAGGGAAAATAACAGCTAATTTATAGCTCTCAGTCACATTATAAGAATTTTTAAGCACAAGTGAGTTTGTACAAATTCTTCCCTACCCTCCACCCCCCTCAACATTTTGAATTATGTCTTTATGAAGACATTCCTCTCATGGCCCTGGAGATTTGGCTTTGGGAACAGTAGCTGATGATGGTGGTGGGTCTTGGCCTTCCAGCCTATTACCAGTTACCCATTTCTGTTAGAAAGGTTGAAGAGAAGTTGGGCTAAGCCCCTTAATTCACCTCCTCTGAAACAAGCAAACAGAATGGTAATTTATAAAGAAGGAAAAAATAGCATTCGCTCTTTTACCTGCTGTTAGCAAAATGTGGCTGGCTTACTTCAGCCATAATGTTGGTCTCACATGGAAATGGATCCTGATCCTCTGCTTTGCCCAGTGCCTCCGTCTCTCCTTTCTTGGGTTCACTGACTTCCTGTTGCTGATGGGAAAACTGGACTCAAGAGCTCGGGTGCTAAAAGCAGAGGGGTTTTGAGGGCCAGGCTTGTGGCCTGGAAGGGAGTTTTGATCGTCTTGATCCCTGGGGCTGGGTCTGAGCGCCAATCAGAGGGCCAGATGCAGGGCAGCAAGTTAAGGTGGGGTTTGATTCAGATCAAGTTAGCTTTATTTTGTGAGAGGGATGTAAGGTGAGGAGAAAAAGAAGTGAGGCTGCACATGGTTGTTCCCTTTTACCACCCACACAGACTTGGCCCAGAGAGAGGGGTGGGTGGGTGGGTGTGGGTTGTGTGTGTGTGTGTGTGTGTGTGTGAGACAGACAGACAGACAGACACGGGGGTATCTGAAAAGCCACAATGTGATGGGAGAAACAGCTCTAACAGTGTCATGGACCGTCCAGCAGAGCTCTTGGGTGACCAGGACCCCCTACCTGCCCCGCTCTGTCCCTGCCCCTCCCTGGCTCAAATCATGGCAGGTGTGGCAACTGTAACGTAACCTTGCATGCTGTGTGGTTTGAGTTGTTAACCCACGTTTGCTTGTCTGTTTCCTAATTCAAACAGAGCGTCAGAAGCCTTGATGCATGTAATGTGTGTGTACTGCAGCTGGAATGGGCCTCAGACCAGGTATTTATAGCCGTCACTTTAAGCCTTCCATACAGTCTTCATGTGATTGGTCTGAGTAATAGCAGGGATCTTACTTGTATGTCCCTCGGTGTGATATGCAGGCTTCTTAATTCACCACATCACCTTGTTTAATCAGATTACAACTAGCCTGCACATAGCATATGTATGCTGGAATACATGTGTTGTATACATATGCACATACATATATGTAAACATATATGTATGTGTACAAGTTCATGGTTTTATCATTGTCTTCTGTGGGAACTGCCCAAGGAAATTAGCACTTGAATTAAAAATTTAACAACTAACAGTGATGAATAACACCATATTAAGCCAGCATAAAAAACATTCATAGTGATAACCTTGTCCTTTGGATTTGTTGAGCCCCTTTCCCCTGAAGAGCCAGAAGTGCTTGGTTTGATCTCTCCTCACAGAATAACTCCTTGGAAGACACCGGAGCAGGGGTTCTTTTTGCCTTGCACCCCCAGCCTCCATCTGATCACTGAGTCAGTGGTGCTGACAGCCCTGGGAGCAAGCAGCCCCCACTTCTTCCAGTGCTAACTGGGATCCCAGCCTGGCCGTGGAGGAGCCTCAGGAAACATGCTGTTCTTCCACTGGTCTGACATGGGAGCTGTTAGCAGGACCGGAAGAGAAACCATCTTTCACGTGCCTATTCAGGGTCCCACAAGGGTGTTTGCTGGCTGGTGGTACTTAGATACATGGTGCTTTTTATCCCTTGCCACTATCCCATTAAAAACAGTCATGGTTTGATTGTTGATACCCCACTCTCCTCCCTCTGCCCTTCAGGGTCCCCTAGTACGAAGCCAGGCCTCATAGAGGTGCAGGAGGTCACTCCCTCGTCTCTGTGCTGCTGGCAGCAAGGCTGAGGACCAGGATCACTGTTGGCTTCTAGCCGAGCTTTAGACCTCGAGCCAGGAAGTAGTTATTGGCCTGCACCCCTGCCCCCAGGGTACACAGTCTTAACCACATGGTCTCATTAGAGCGGTCTTGAGGCATCCAAGTCAGGCTTGTGGTACTCATAAATGCTGAACAGGACATTAAACTTCCACATCCAGGGCTTGAGACGCTTGATGAAGGCTGAGCCTCTTTTAACAGGTTGGCTGGTGTGTGAGCTCTCATGACTGGCCTTAGGACAGCATAAATAGACAACATTTAAGCTAGTGCACAGAGGCCAACTTGCAACTGAATCCCTGATAAAATGGGTGTAACTTGAGGGAAGGAAATCTAGCTGGAAAAGTGGGACCAAAGCTATTTAGAGACATAGGCTGTAGGTTGTCAGGCCAAGTTTAAGCTCACTGTGAAGACTCCCACTTGTCCATAATCAGGAAATGGAAAATCTAAGTCTGTGAATACACACACATATGTATGTATGTTTGGGGCGTTGTATCTTTTTTCCCCAACTTATTTAATAAATTGCCTGCATTTTTGTATAAATATTTTTTGGCCCAGTCCTGTGATTTCATAGTTTTTGGGAATCCCTCTCCCAATGGAAATGGGCAAACACATCTACAATGTGTAGTCTTCTGAGAGTTTCGTGGTTTGCCCAGGGGTACACAGCCGTATATGTGTCGGGTAGGTCCTCGCTCCCTGCTCTTTCTTGTGGACCTCTTCAGCTTCTTCTGTTTAAGTCTTTCTATCTAGTTGACTCCCCTATCTATAATTCCATCACTTTCTCTTAAGCCCAACTTTGCCAGTTGCCTATTGGATATTTCTAGTTGGATCTTGTAGATGTCTCAATCTGTGTAAAACTGAACTTATTTTTCCCAAAAAAACCTATTTTTCTTCTTGACTTCTGATTGCTGGGGAGGATACTACTATGCCTCTTAGGTTCCTAACTTCTGAGATGCCCTTGCAAAGTCATCTTCTCCATCCCCTTTCCACCTCACCCAGGTGCCCACTCTTTTCATGTCTGCCCCAAGACAGCCCTCTTCTGCATTTCCTCCCCTCCTCTCACACAGCTGCTCCTTAATTCGGGCCCTCACCTCCTCTGAACATGGGCTATTTTAATAGCCTACCATCCATTTTCATAGCTGCCACACTGATTTTCCTGAGGCCCGGTTCTCATCATTTCACTTCCATATTCAGTCACCCCCAGCGGCTCCTATGCTTCTCTGTTGGGCATTTTAAAGTCCATTCTAACCTTGCTTCACATTTCCTTTCCAGCTCCATTATGGATTCCAGCCCAGCTGGCCTTGCCTTTGGTCACATGGTCTGTCTGTTTCCATACCCAGAATGCATTCCTCAACCTCCTTAGAATTCCTGGCTTCCTTCAAAGCTCCTTGTGCCCGTCGGAAGTCAGCTTTTACTTATTTTGTACGTACTCAATTGTATGTGTGCCTTCTGGTAGACTCTCAGCTCCTTGAGAGCAGGGCACTTTCTCATTTGGTCTCTATACCCCCAGTGCCCAGCACGTGGAAGCCCCCTCAGCGATACTGGTCTGTTTGATTCTGGCCTCCCTGGCTGATTCTCTAACCCTCGTGGCTTGATGCCTCCCGTGTGGATTCATGCTAACTTATGAAATAATTGCTTCCTTTAAAGGAACCTTTAAAGCTGTGTTATTTTGTAGCAATAGGCTTTAGGATTTTCTCTGTCTAACTCATCTTTCTGTTTCCTCTAAAACAGACTCTTCTTTCCTGCCATGATATATGCTGGAGGGCAGGATTAATAAGATAGTTCATGATAGCTTACATTTATGTCACACTTTACAAAGCTCTTTACATAGAATATCTCATTTGATCCTAACACTCCTAGGAGGTAGATGTTGTTATTATCCCCATTTTGAGGATAGGAAAACTGAGACAGAGAGATGAAGTGGTTGGCCTAGGATCACACAGCTAGATAGATTGATAGAATTGTAATTCAGACTTCAAGTCTGACTTGATCCACTGCACCAAACATGCCCCTCTGGAGGTCCCCAGAGGAATAATAGCCTTTCTCTGCACAGTTTTCCCTCCCTTCCTACCCCAATGTGTCAAGATCTCATCTTGGCTTCTGAGCACCCAACAGCTACACAGCTGGGCAGGTGTATCACTTCAGCACAGGGCTTTAGTCGCTATTTGAACATTTGTTCATGAGAACGTACATACGTGATATTAGATTGAACTGAATGTATTTTAGGAAGCACACATTTACCCCTAATCTACACTTTGAGATTCAAATAATTCCTCTTTAATGTGTGCTAATAAGCTCCTCCCTTTCTTCCCATGTAGAGAAAAGTGATAAAGAAACTACCTCACTGGGAACATCATCATTACCACCCTGCGGTGGATCTGACAGTGCAGCCCATTCATTAAAACTCAGTTCTAAGACCAGTCACCCCGTAAGTCTTGATCGCTCCGTCTCTGCTCCTGCTTCCATCTGCTCCTATAAGCCCAGCTTACGAGAGATTGTGGATCCGAAAGCTGAATCCGAGATAATCTCAGATAAGAAAGAATGTCCTTTTCCTTTCCTGAACCTTCCTACTCAGGCCTCATCAGACAGCACCATGGAAGACCAACCTGCAGGCTGTCCGAGGTCAGCTACTGCTCTCTGGAATTCATCAAAAGAAACAATCGTGGTGGATAATCTGAAGAAATCTCCTGCTGAGGAAAGCATCTCTAGCCTCCAAGCGCATCTTGATACAGAACAAAAAGATGATTTGTCTGTCCTAACCACCCAGGTGCCCAATCCACAACTGTTTCTAGGTGAGAATGGCTCGTGTTCACCTCACCAAGAACCAAGTCAGGGAACTGGCCTCCAACAGCCCCCACAGCCAGTGAGTTTATGGCCCAAGGTTGAAGTGCAGAGTGAAGTGGATGACCCACAACTCCCCTGGAGCACTGGGCTTGGCACTGAATTGCAGCCCAGCCTTCCCACCCAGCAAAGGTCTGTTGATTTGCAAACTGAGAGTCACCAAGCTGAGCAACAGAAGCTGGGCTTTCCACATCCAGAAGACACTGCTCCATCGTCAGCATCATTTGGCAGCTCATACACTGAAACAATCATGGAAATAGATGAGGCTGAGCCGTCTGTGGTAGCTGTCCATAACTTGGCTGATGGTCACGATGCCGGTGTTGAGAATGCTGGTGTTTCTGACCTCGCTTTAGATAATCCTTGGGTGGCAGCTGAGGCATCAGAGCATAACTCCACTTCTGTAATTGTGAATGATCCAGTGTCAACTAGTGATTTGCAGCCCCCAGAAAGTAATGTTGAAATGTCAGAAACAAATAGTGAATTGCCTTATTTATTAAGGGAGAATTGCTCTTCATTAAGTCTGTCTGGTGACGAACAGGTGTCCACGGACCCTGTAGCACCTACAGAGGAATCTGGTTTATCTGTAACAGCTGCTTTGAAGGAACTTCACCAACTTTTGGTCATTAGTTGTCAAGAACCCCCAGGAAATCTTGTATCTGAAGAAGTAATCCATTACAAGGAAACAGCAGCTGTAGACCAAAGTGGCATTGGGGAGAGATCTGAGCAGCTGCCTCCAAGTCAGCACCCTGCCGAGGTCCTGGAGGAGCAGAACCCTCCAGACTCCTCCTGTCAGGTGGAATCTGCACCAGTGAAGGCTGAGAGATCAATGCAGGCATCCCCAGATGCTGGAGGGGAGAATGGGATCAGTGGAGATTTGGGTGAAAGCCTGGCCGCTGCCCCAGGGGATGTGCAGAAGTCACAGGAGTCAAGGAGAGAAAGCCGTCCTTTCACAGGGACATCTGCAGAAACGTTGGGCCAGTTAAACTCGGTAGGGGCAGAAATTTCACCCAGGCCCTTAGCGGGTGAGGGGGGTACCATCCTTCAGACTTCTCAACAGACTGAGGCCTTGCCGTCCGATTTCGCACCAGTCCTCTCTCAGGACACTCAGAACCCGTTGACAGGAATGCCCGAAATCAGGGAAAGTGTCGTCTGTCCTGAAACCACAAGACCCCTTCGCAGACTTGAGCAACTAGTCAGTCCCCCAGCATCAAACCCCTCGCTTCTGCCAAGCCACCTTTTCCCTGCTGCAGACGTGGACCGGATTCTTCGTGCAGGCTTTACTCTGCGAGAAGCTCTCGGGGCTTTGCAGCGTGGCGGTGGAAATGTAGACCTTGCTCTCCTCATTTTGCTGGCAAAGAACATCATCGTTCCTACATAGCCATGGAAAAGGTGGGCTTGACTAGTCCTCATTCCTTTGAAAAACAAATATCATTATATAGATATATATGTATCCAATGTACGTAGAAACCTGCAAGCAGAATGTTGAGCCAGATTTTTTTTTTTTTAAGATTTTTATTTTTGGCCAAAGTAATTTATGATCTCTTGTCTAATGAAGTTGTCTATCACACTTGTTTAAAATCTGGGCCTTTTTAATGTATTGGCAATGTGTGCACATGAGCTTTTTCTTCTTGTTAATGATGCATTCTAGAATAAAACAGATGGGTTTACATAAGTACCATTTTAGAAGGAAGTTGAACATTTTGAAAAGCAGAAGCTGTTAGAAGTCCTACCACCTGTCCAGCTGAAAGCAGACTGGCTTCCTCCCATGGTTGTGCTCCTTCCATATTTGCATGAAGGCAAAGTGGAGAAGGCAGTAGTGAGGCAGAATATCAAGGGACAAACTATAGGGAAAGCTGCTTTTCCCCCACAGCTGTGTGGGAAATGTTAGCCAGCACTCTTGGCGTTGTCATCCACTGACACTCTGGGGAAATGAAAGAACAATCCTAGTATAGCTGCTGCTAGAGTCACCAGCTCTGGGCACAGGGCATGAGAAAGTGGGTTCAGAACTTAATATGTGATAAGCTGCTGCACAAATTGCAAAAAATACTTGATGATGTGGAGTTTCATTTTAAAATGGAACTTGGTGCTGCCCAGGTTTAAAAAAAAAAATTAAGGGAAAAATCAAGAGCCCTAAAATTCTCTCTGCAGTGAGCATGCTGATCTGTAAACTGAGAAGTTGCAGTAGCTGAGACTCCAGAGGGGTTGGGTTTGCTAGAAGCTCGATCGATGACTGAACCCTAATCCTGAATGCCTGCAGTCTGTTTGCTCTCTGAGCTCGTGCTCTACTAGAAGTTCTTATTATGTAATTACTGTGCTCCGTGTGAACCAAGTGAGGCATGAAGCGATAACCTTGGCACTCATTTATCTTGGTCTTTAGAGGGGGTAGAGCTGACCCAAGTGATAATTCACGGCTGTGTTCTTCACTAAAGTACAAGTGTGAAGTGTCCATTTTTGACTCTTCAAGTGGCCTTGGTAAACCTGAATTTTCCATCTTTTTCCTCCAGAAGCCTCCAATTTGGTTTTGGAAACACGGAGTCAGAGCAGGGTATAGGGCACGGAGAATACCTTTCTTGTGGCCTTTGTGTTGAAGACCAGCCCCTGGGATCTCATTGTCCTGTGGGCCCCACTGTGTACTCCCTTTGGGAGCTCTCATCTTAATCCTTCTACTCCTGGCAGAGGGAATTGACTGTTGAAGATTAATGAACATGACAAATCAGGATCTTTGATTGTAATTGAAAACGGAGGCCTTGCATCCAGTTTGCAAACTCTGAAGTCGCTTGGTTTCATGTGTATATTTTTAAAGACCTGCTGCTTCCATCCAGACCCCCAGTCCATTGAGTATAGTAGGTAGAGAGTTAATTTTCTCAGGAGCATTTGTAATTTTAATTTGGGGGTCTTGAGAAACATTCTTGTTTCATTCCTACACCCTTCTCTTTTTTTTTTTTAAGAGGCTTTAGAGGGGGGTTATAAATCACACATTAAGTAGGTGGCAAAAAGAATTGCTTCAGCATGGCTAGCCAGAGGAGCATGGAACTTTCTAGTAGGGTGGTCAGGCCACCATTGAATCATTGTAGACTACTTCGGATTATAGATCCCCACACCAAAGATTTAAGATGCAATATGGAACTGTTTACAGGATTTTCATGAACCAACGTCCCTCCCACTCCCTTCTAGAGCTGTCATTGGAATTTGGTCATTTGTATTGTAATTAGTGTAAAATCAAGTAACAGTACTGTGGATCCTCTCTGCTGTGTGGTTAAGGAATAAAAATGGTGATCATGGGCTATTTTCTGAGCAGAGGCTTCTGAGAAGGGGAAAGTAATTAACAGCAACAGACCCTTTATCCAAAAGGCCTTTTGTTTGAAGATAGTTTTCTCTTTTGAGGATAGCAGAAATTAACTTTGGCACAAAACCATTCCTTGGGACACAAGGGACATTCCAAATCTTAAAAGGCACTCGAGATGATAGGAGTAGTCAGTGGCACAGATAATTTGGGGGGAGGGGACTTTCAGAAGTCTTTTGTGCCTGATTTTTAGTAAAAATTATATATGCCTGCAGATATACAGGTATTCATCTAAGAACACTGAATGGAATTCTAGCCCTGAAGGGCGTCTGCCAAAATCCTTAATTTTTGTTTTGTTTTCAACATATGATTATACCTGATCTTTTTGTGCTCTACCTTTTCCCTTTTCTACTCTTCCATTTGTGTGAACAAAAACACGTCAATGTTTTTGTCTTCAAATTGTGTGTGTTGTGTTTTAATTCAGCGGGAGCTAGAAATCTATCAGAATTGCTTAAACAGACACTTTGGGATATTTTAGCTTAGCAGTATAACCTTGCATTTTTTTTTCTTACTATGTAGCCCAGCAAAGTACAGTTAGCTCTGAAAGGGCAGTAACTACAATGATTTTCAAGCTTAACATTTGTCAGTGTGACTGTTAGGTCAGTGTTCTGATGGAAAGCAAAGCCAATGATGGCTGGCTGTTAGTGATTATGATCAACCTTTAGGGTCCAAAACTTGACTCTGAGAATTGTGGGCAGGGCTGACCTCTTAAGTCCTATTTACTTAGATGTATACTATTCTGTGATTTGAAAAGAAGCTATATCTGCCCATCTCTTCCTGTGGAGCCCCTTCTACAACTTACATTTTCTGCTACTTTCTGGCAGCCTTTGTTAGCTGGGCAGACCAATTGAAGGGGCATTCTCAGCCCATTGGCTGTTGTACCAATATGGGTCACCAGGGGTCAGTCACCCCCAGGTCTCTTAGGAGTGGGGAACCTGTGGCCTCGAGGCCACTGGTCCCCCACTTCTGCTAGACTTGGTGTTTGGGCTGTTGCTTAATAGCAGCCAATTCTTGGTTAGAAAAGGAATGGAGATAAGAGATCAATGAAAGCGTTAATTCTTTTGCCTTGTCTACAAACCTTGCTTCTTAAAGCTGTATGACTCCATCTCTGCTGAGTTCGTATAGCCTTTTATTTTTCTTAAACCTTAGCTTATATGATGTTACTTTCACAGATCTGGCTCTTTGTGGTCCAGGAGGTTTATAGGGCAGTTCGAGGAGTTTGTGTCTTTGCGTTTAAGGAGTCTAGTGACCACAGTGGAGCCTTCCTTCCCTAGCCCCCATCCTCTACTATGTGAGCCATAAAATGTTTTTAGTCCATATATACACGTATATATACTTAGACTTGCATATATGCATATACACATATATCTATTTAAAATACATGGGATTGTCTTTATGATTCCATATATATTATATATAAAGTAATATATAAATACACAGGATGAGGCAAAATTTAAATAAATGTTCCACATCCTAATACAAGAGTTGAAATGATATATGAGCAAATTATTTTAACCACAGAGATGAACTGACTACAGTCTGCTGATCAGCGATGTGCCAGCTTTCCTCACCACACACAGAGACGCAAGCCTTATGAGGGAAGGCCCACGTGTCTAGAGTAAGCAGCAGTTTATGCCAGGGGATTGGCAAACGTTCCACTTTCCATTTTGCTACTCATAAGCCACCTAGAGAGAGTATAAGCTGAAATAATTGAGCTGCTAAATGGTTTGTACACTTTTGCAAGGCTTTATCTACAGGAGTTTTCACTGTAGATGTTTACATTTCTATTAGCACTGTGTTTCTTTGTAATTGTCATAGGAGACTTGTTTTACTGTGATACTACTTGGTTGGCCTGTCCTCTACCACTGATGTTCTCCAGGAAGTCTGATTTCTCCTTCTTGAGCAAATAGGGCGAGAGCCTGAATCCCACAACGTGAGAGGGATGACAGAGCCTTTGGATGGGCTGGGTTTAGAGCAAAAGCAAATGAAAGCAGCCTTGCTACTTCTTGAAAACTAATTTTAACAGAAAGAAAAAAAAAACAATTTCCTTTTTCCCTTGAGGGGCTTAAAATACACTCTCAGCAAACATATTTACAGTGTATATTGAAATAGTGGTGGGAACTTAATGATATGATTTGTGGTCCAACTTTTGTGGATGGATCTAAATGGTCAACAGTGAAAATAGAAATGGAACTTTGACTGGTAGCTCAGTGAGTGAATGAGAGGAAGAAGGAAGTGGTTTGGGTGAAGTTTTTGTTTGCTTTTTGTGCCATGGTTCTACAAATAACCTAGGCATTTGATAGGGTATTGTGGTAGAGGAGCAAAATTGAGGGTATCCTTTTTTTTGGGGGGGGGCAAGGGAGAATCATCATTTTTGAAGTACAAACTAATACTCATTTCTTGTTAGCTAAATGGCTCCAAGTGGGGTCCCTAGCTCTTCATTGCCTTCTAGAAATTGAGTGTATGCAATCAACATGGTGAGATATAGAAGGGGCAGATGGAGAGATAGCCCCAAATTAATTCAGTCCTTGCTCTTCCCAGAGTTGGACTGAACCCTGACACCCTTGTAATAATTCTGCTACTTAGCCTCAGGAACAAAGTCTACTTTGGCTTGTGGAATATTTTTATGACTTTGAACTTGTAGAGAAGCTTGGTAGAAATTTGATGCTGTAGATGTTACTAAACTCTCAAAAACCAGACTTAAGAGAGAAACAGGTAATCCAGAAATTTCTGGACTAGTTGGCAACCATCAGTCCAGTGGACAACTAGGGCCATAATTGGTGCTCAGCTGAATACAGTTTAGAAGTTAAAATTGGCAGGTCATTCTTCAGCGTTTCGACTTCCTATTCATTAGTTCAAGCCAGCAGCTCAAAAAGGGACGTGCTTTGACAAACAATTAGCTATGTATTACTGTAATAGGCAGCTGATGAGACTCACTGAGAAGTTGGCAACACTTTGAAACCCTGGAAGCTACAATGATTTTCTGTTAAAAGAGGATGACTAAAGGATTGTTTAGCACAGGGGTTCTTACTTAGCCTGGGGTCAGTGAACTTTTTTTTTTTAATATTGTGATAGTAATTTCAGTATCATTGGTTTCCTTGGTAATCCTCTATTTTGTTTTAGACATTTAAAAACATTGTGAGAAGATCTGTAGCCTTGACCAGACTTCCAAAGTAAGGTCTGTGACGTAAGAAGGCTAAGAAGCTTGGGTTAGGTTGAAGTGGCCTCATTTTACCCATCCTAGGAATTTGGGAGGGTGCATTTAGTAAGCTTCAAGGCAAGGTCCTGTGGTGTTGAATCTGGGAATTGAAAGGGAAAATCCAATGGGTTTGCTGGAGGCTATTGTGGGGTTGATATAGCAGGGCTTTTAAAAAAAAAACCTAAAAAAATGAAGTTGACCTCAAAATACTAGAAAATGAAGCATTGAAACCTCTCTTTTTTAGGGGGGAAACCAACAGCCCTGAGATAACCCACCCTTCATCAGATTTATCATTGTAGAATTAGAATGCCATTTTTAGGAGGAACAGTATGCTGTAGTGGATAGAGGCCAGTCTTGTAGGCAGGAGACCTGGTGGGTACAAGTCACAGACTAGCTGTGTGACAAGTCACCTTAGCCTCTCAGTGCCCCAGGCAGCTCTAAGACAGGGTTACAGATAATTTGGAGATCTACAGCAATGAAATTATGGTTTGGGTTTTTCCCCCACATACCAAGGGTTTGTTACACAAATGAAATCGCAGGTCTGGCCATCCCTTTTCTTCTCGCCCCAAATAATCTCTTTAAATATACAGTTTTAAAAGCTTTGCTGCATGAGCTATGATTTTTTATCATGGGATGCAAGGAGGGGGTGTGGGGACAGTTAAGGGGAGATAGGGGTAATCAGGTTTTTTCCATGTAGAAATCTCAACCAGCGGAGAAATGACTGTTTACAAATTTTTATAATTCTCAATGACTGTCTCTAGCATAAAAAAATGTACACCTGCATTGACCTTTCCTCATTTTCAGGTTACTATTTTTCAAGGTTACTACTCGGGTTATTTGTTTTAATCTTCCATTAATTAAGGCTCCGTTCTTCAAGACCATTGGAGCCATCATCTGGCCTCTATGACCACTTCCTTTGAAATGTTATTCCCATCCTGTGTTCCCAAAGCTTTGTGTTTTCAGGTGGCTCCGGTGGGTGCAGAATAGTTCACCAGTGAACTGTGGCTGGGCTTGCCCTTCACTTCAACCTTATATGTAAACATTTGTTTGCATGTTTTTAATATTTTTCAACTCTGTGGACAGGTTGGGCTGGGAGCAGGTAATCTTGAGGAGAGACTGCCATGTTGGGCATCTCTACTCCTTCTGTCTTCCCCTTTTACACCTGCCCTTGAATTTTCCAGTTGAGCATGGTGATTGAGCAAAGGTGATTATGGACTTTTCTTTCAAATCATTGAAACAGCATCAGTGTTTTACAAGAACTGGGCTTATCTGCAATCCACCCATGCTTGCCTATAGCTCAACCTCTCATCCCATAATGCTTTGGTTTTGAGAAGTCAAAAAAACTCTCCTGGAGAAGTTACAGGAGCCAAGCTCAGGAACCCCAGAGTCGATCACTTTGTGCCGTTGACCTTCGGGGCTGGCTGACCGTGTACTTTGTAGCTGAGTTGGGTTTTGAATTTGTTTTGTCAAATACTGAAATACATGTCAGCCTGGAGTAGGGAGAACACTTGATTCTTTTTAAAAAGGAAAAAGAAAGGAAAAAAATGAGGACTTTGTTGAGGAAAATGAAATGAAGTGTAAAAAATTTGATATTTAAAGACAATAAAAACTTTTATCATGACACTATTGTTTGGTTAGTTTATTTTAAGTTGAGGTATAGTTTGCTTAACTCCTTTGTCCATTAAGTAGTAATCCAATCTCTTTGTGCATGGAGATACCATGGCATATGGCCTTGACTTCTGAGAGAGATTGTGTAGCATGGGGAAAATGTAAAAAAAAAATACATATATATATATATATATCATAAAAGGATTGCTGTTAAATGACAGTGCCTGGCACAATTAGGTGCTTAATAAATGCTTATTGGTTGATGAAAATGGTGTGTATTTTGGATAACATTCCACATGCAGTAGATGGTAGACAAGGGAAATAATGCTAGCAAGATGTGTAGCATCTCTCCATGGAATGGTTTCTGAACCTTAAACAGACTTTCCCAGAGGTTGGGCATTCCTATGAGATGGGATGGAAGCTGATAGAGAAAGGTGAAGGGACATAGGCAAGTTAGTACTCAGTTGAGTGACTTACAGCCCCAAGTCTCACCATTGGGCCAGCGATGCCCAGTCTTTGAAGTTGATTTCATATGGTTTCATAACTGATTCCTTCTTACCCTCTCTTGCAAGTACCACTTAATATTTATAGTTGTCTTTTAATAGAGTAAAAAAGCATTTTGTCCTGATATGTGATACCCTTTGATATATGATTATATGTACGTATGTGTGTATGTGTATATAAATTATATGTATATATATGTGTGTGTGTGTGTGTATATATATATATACACACACACATAAAATCCCTGATATGTGATAGAAACTCCTTGGAGTATTGGGGAAGCAAAGTTGGAAGTCACTGCCTTATACACTTAACATTTTATTCCACAAACTATCAAAACACTCCTAACCAACTGTGTACTAGTGTCATTTCTTCCCTTACTCCATTAGTGACTAAACTATCCATACCCTTTGCCCCAGAGATCCACTGCTAGGCTTATGCCCTAAGGAGGTTGAAGATGATCAAGTTCCCACGTATGACAAAATACTCAGCAGCACTTTGTGGGAGCAAGGAACTGGAAACAAAGTAGGTGCCCATGGGTTGGGTAATAGATAAGTAGTGAATGGTGCAGAACTATAACAGTATCCATACTGAAAAGCAACAAATACAGGTAACCCAGAAGGAAGCATGGATCTACTTGCATGATGTGACGGGGAAGTAAACCAAACCAGGAGAACCACATACCCAGTGACTACAGCACTGTCAGTGGAAAGAACAACCAAACCAAACAATAGCGTGTCATTATCATGACCAAATTTGGATGCTAGAAGATGCTCTTCCTTTTATTGATACTGAAGAGGTGGAGACTATGGGAGTAGAATGTTGGGTGTGCTGTCAGACAGGATTGATGTGTCAGTTTTTGCCCAACTTTTTTAATCTCAGAAGGAAAGGCTCAACATGTAGGAGAGGGAGATATTCCCAAATGAGTGGTTTAAAAGCAAGAAGAATAAAGACAATACGAAAGGGATAGAATTGGATGTTCTTTTTCCACAGTAAATCCTGTGATCTTAAAAAATCTGTTAAGACTCATTCATAGGATCACAGATTTAAGGGAGGGAGAGAACAGCTTTTGATGGCAACTAGTTCAAGTCATTTCACCCAGGAGGGAACTGAGTCCTAGAGAAGTTACCGAGAACGATTCTTCCCCATCCATAGTTGCATAGGTAAGAGATAAGAGAGCTGGGATTTAGACCCAGGTACCCTGATGTCAAATCCAGTACTCTTACGATGACACACAGTCTCCCTGGTTTAGATTGAAATCCTCTTACTCCTATGGCATTGTCTCTAGTAAACGTTTGTGAAAACTTCTATAATGGTGAGAATTTAGCATTATAAGGAAGGGGGAATTTATCTCTTTAGAAATCAGAAGAAAAGGTCTTTAGTTGAATTTGGCAGTTCTGGGTTTTGACTGAGGATGTATCACTGAGCTGAGGTGGAATTAAAAAAAAAACGACAACTGGCTAATTGCCAAGGAAAAGAAACAACAACAGGAGAGCTTCGTAAAGAGTGTGGCATTTCTAATTCTTGAAGAACCTGATTATATGAACCTGGATTCTTTTGTGTCGTAGGCCAGTGAACTGTGACCAACCGAGTAATCCCTACTCACAGCTAATGAGTGTAATAATTGGATTAGCCAATCCTCCTTTCCTAATTATGTGGAAAAGGAGGACTTAATCTTGAAAACAGATTGGAGTCAGAGAATTGAAGTTTTAGTTTCTCCGAAAAACAAAAAACAACCAGAAACGGACATTGTACCTGTAACTGGACACAGCCAATTTCAGGTTGGGGTGACTTAAATCCAGCTAGTTACAGGAGCAATCCATGTATCCCCACCATCCCCACCCCCACCCAGATAAGAGGAATTTAAGTATTGCTGTATTAAATTTGCAAACCACAGACTGACCCCAAAGGATGTTTTGGGAGTTACATGCAGAGAGATGATAATTGAACCTGTGGGAGCTGATTGCAGTCCTTAGAGGTCATCTTGTCAAGCTCTTTAATTTTAAAATCAAGGAAACTGAGCTTAGGGAAAATGATGAGGTCAAGGTCATATGGCTAATTAGTGGCTAGATTAGTCTCCATTTCATTCTCTTTCTTTTCTGGATATAAATGCCAAAGATAAAGGATATATCCCCCAAACATACTATTATTTAATAGCTTGTTATTTTAAAAAAAAGGCAGCTAGGTGGCACAGTGGATAGAGCACCAAGCACCAAGCCCTGGAGTCAGGAGGACCTGAGTTCAAATGTGGCCTCGGACACGTAACACTCATTAGCTGTGTGACTGTGGGCAAGTCACTTAACCCAAATTGACTTGCCCCACCCCCCAAAAAATAGCTAATGTCTCCATAATCTGTAAAAACATCTCAACCTTTAAAAAATAGACATTATTAGGTGCTTAGTAACCTCTCTGAAGTAGTGCCTTTTATTTGTCCCAGACAGGGATGGGATTATGTCTCCTCTGATTGCTACAGCTAACATTTCTAACACAATATTGAATAACAGTGGTGATAATGGACATCCTTGTTTCACCCCTCATCTTACTGGAAATGCTTCTAGCTTATCCCCATTGCATTTAATACTTGCTGATGGTTTTTGATAGATGCTATCTATCATTTTAAGGAAGACTCCATTTATTCCTATGCCGTTTAGTGTTTTTAATAAGAATGGGCAGATTGTGTCTCAAAGAGTTCTCCCACACATACAGTATTGTGCAATCAGGTGAATAAGCCCATGTTCAGTTCTGTTCCTAATTTAATAGACTCATTAGTCATATCCCTTTTCAATCATATTTGCAGACAGAAGAGGAGTAGCCTTGCATCTGCCCATTGTTTCTACGTCAAATGAGCAAATTCTGTACATCGCAGTTTAAATTTTACTAGAAGTCTTGAAATGTATCCCAAGTCAAGGCAGATTCCCCATTCCACCCAGATGACTGGCCAGCAGTTATGAAACTGTTTGGGGGACAATGGTCAGTTTTAGTTCTCAGCCCTAAAGTTGTTGACTATCAAATGTTCCTCCAAGGCAGCATTTTCCAAGCTTATACAGCAGCAAAATACTTTGGGTCTTGAGTTATATCAACAGAACCCATTAATTCTGGGTCACAGGCTCTAAGGAGGGTCTAGCATATCCCTGAAGCTTTTAAGGGCTTGTGAGAAGGTTAGAGCAGAACTGAGGAAACCAAATTTATTTTCTTATTGAAAATTTGCTGTCTATAAATATTTTAGAGGGGGAGAAGTCACTGGAGTTATTTTGTCACAGAACTCCTCATTGTGTAATGCTAGGGTTCAAAGGATCATAGATTTAGAAAGGGACTTGAGAGGTCATTTTTAAACCTTTCATATTGTAGATGTAAAGAGGTTGTGACACCCAGAGTCACACTGGTAGTAGGTATGGTGGAGCCTGGATCTGAAGCTAGAGCCTCAGGCTGTACCTCCCCAAACAGTTTGGGAAACTCACGAATGGAAAAGGCGAGGCAGGTAATTTCAGATGCACACACTAATACCCTCTACAGTGATGAGAAGCAGTGATGTATAATGGAAAGAACGCTGAGTTTGGAGTCAGGAGTTAGAAAACTACCATCAGTAGAAATGGGGAACTTAGCAATAAGGGCTGGCTAGAGTCCCACCCCTGACTTAACTGAACTGAGACTCTAGGTTCTTCTACACATCTGACCTGTCTGTCTCCTTTGCTGGATCATCATCTATGTCCTGACCCCTGCCTCTGGGTGGACTCCAAGGTTCTACCTTGAACTGAATTTCTAATTAGCTCCCGAGGGCTAAATTATTCATTCTATCCAAATGTATCTAACTCTAATCTGTTTCCCAGGTTCTAATCCTAAATCACCAACTACCTGTTGGAATTTCCAACTGGATGTCCTCCATAGGTCTCACAAATTCAACAGGTTCAAAATAGAACAGAATCCCCCCCCACGATGCATCTTTATTCCCAAGTCTGTTTCTGTGGGAAGTAGTACCACTAGTCACCTGTTTTGAAAACCTGAAAGTGATCTGTCAGTCTTCTCTCTCCCTCATCCCTCCACATCCTATCAGTTGCCAAGCCCTGTTGATTCTACTCCTACAGCATGTCTCACATCCATCCCCTTGTCTGACTCATGCAGCCACCATTCAGACCTTCATCACTTTTCACCTGGACTATTGCAACAGTCTCCTAATGGGTCAGGTCTCTTTCCACACTACCCACAGCTGTCAAAGTGATATTTCTGACCATGTCGCTCACCTGCTCAAGCAGGTCCAGTGGCTCCCTATGCCTCTGGGATGAAATATAAATATATGTTTGGCATGTAGAGTACTTTGTAATCTATTTCCAACCTAACTTTTCAGGCTTAAGACACATGCATACTTTTATTTATTTTTTATTTTTTAATTTATTTATTTTTAAGTTTTCAACATTCACTTCCATAAGGTTTTGAGTTTTAAATTTTCTCCCCCTCCCACTTCTTCCCACTCCACCCCCCAAGACAGCATACCATCTGTTGTAGGCTCTACATATACA